GTCAAACTAACGTAAATGCAGATGTTTTTTTTTTTTATCTCAAATACGTTCCGATACATCCAAAACTTTTATATATATATATATACATAAAGTATCTAATAACAATAATTTAACTATTTATTTAAATCTGTTTGCAATTAAAATAAATAAACTAGATAAAAAAATGCACGGATAATACAAAAATTGTTTTCAAAAACCTGTTCAATTTGTTCGATATGTAATGGTGTTTCACGTCGTGAGAGAGAAATGATCTTTCTTCGAAATAAACAGATCATGCATCTTGTGCGCTAGATCACTCAAATAGTTGTCTGTCATCTGTTGTATGTTCGTAAAAGAAATCGTTGACGGAAACGGCCGTGTGTATCACCAATCTTTTCAAAATTGATGAGCAATAAATTCACAATCGAAAGCTTTTGTAAAATAAATACATGTAAAATGTTTATTTAAAATTGTACGTGTGTGAACGGTATGATAATAAGTCAACTCATACTTTAATTGTAATTAAATTTGTTGAATTTATAAAACTGTTTTTATTTCAGAAACAGTAAATATACATTAAAAGAAAAATAACCGAAGAGCCTATGGTCTAAGTTGAAGGTGGACAATTAAAAATAACTTCCCAGATAGCCAAATGTGAAAACTCAATATAAAGCAAATCATTGTATAGATTAAGTTGCTCGCCAATTGCTGTTGTGTTGTTTTTATTTAACGCAATGAAAATGGTTTTGTCAATTTAGTATCAATATGCTGAGTTTTATTATCAATCAATTGTTGTAGCCAATGTTTAGGACATATGAGTCAGCAATATGTGAGCAATAATTTTTATTCATAAGTTGAAAAAAATAATATAAGTTTATTGCCGATGAGTTGTTGAGAACTTGGTGTTATTATATTTTGAAAACTGTTGTTGGCAAGAACATACTGAAAAGAGGATACACCCTTTCGTTACATTGCTGAAAACATATGAGTAATAATTGTGGCAAGTTGCCAACAACTTGCACTCAGTTGGCTATTTGGGTTAAAACGCATTGTATTTGTGACGACTTGTCGAGTTATGTACATACATATTTATTCAAAATTTTTTTGTATCTTTCTGTCTAACGGATGTTTTTCTATTCTATTATTTTTACATTGTATACAGTGCTGAAAATGATCACCAATAAAATTTGATCGAAACGTTCGGAATACACTGCGTTTTAAATAATTTTCGATTGTTCACTTTTAACTTGGACCATAGGCTTTTTGGTTATTTTTATTTTAATTTTTTTTTATCGAGCCGTTATTTAAATATTATTTAGTAAACATATAGAATATAAAGCTGAAGAAAATAAGTATCATAAGTATTATTAGTAACATATAGAATATAAAGCTGAAGAAGATAAGTATCTTATATGTTAATCGAATGCACGCTGTTAATTAGCGGTCTCAAATTATTTACTTCAAAGTATTTAAATTAAAAATATATAATCAAAAGTAGGTCAGGTTTTTAATTTCTATTTTATGAAAGAATAAAAACAAGAAATGTATTGAAATGCTAATATAGAATATCTTCAATTAACATAATTATATTTGCTTGTTTATAGAATAAGATTTTATATTTAATAATTTCTAGAATAAGTAATCTAGATTTTTTTTTTAGATAAAATTCAATATTGCTTAGCGAAAAAAACTTTTGCCTTTATCTTCTGATATTCTTTATATTCATATATTGAACTTTCAAAACAAGCGACTCGAATAAATGACCCAAATCATCGATCCGCTCCATTTAAAATATCAGTCTACAATAGTCGTCTTTCCCATAGCGGATAACGTGAGATTATATCTCGAGCTCCGATAATAACACGCGCGTCAGTAAGCAGTCGAGCGCAAAGTGAGAAAATCGAAATCGTGGAATGCGAATTGTGTTCCATTGCATTGGGAGAGATGCTGAGAGTTGAGACGATTCTTCTGCTAGTTCTCACGAGAGGACCGTGAAATCTATTCAGAAATACGTTCCTGATGAAGTGTGTTCAGGATCGCAAGACAGAATATTCGAGAACTACCGCTAGATAATATTTATACGACGAATATTTTTTCCTAAGCGGTTCATCAGTAAGAAAATGTATTACATAATCTCAATTTAGTCTCGCGCCCAACGGGAAAAACATTTCCGAAAAGAAAACACGTGAGGACAAACACGTTCTTAGTGAGAAATCCTTAAATTGGTCCGTTACTTACATGTTTCATAATAAATTAGTATGAATTAACGACGCAGAATATGGCATCTGATATTTATGGTAATCGTCCGAACGTGACACGAAGATTTGTTGCATCGAAGTCAAAGAAATAAGGAACGTACGGTCCAGCTAAAAGAAACAGAAAAAACTCAGGTATCAACGTAATTGTGACAGCTGTCGATTTTAACGAGGTCTTTTGAGGAACAATTTGATGTAAAAAACTTTGGTTACAGTTTGAAAAGAGAGATCAATATTTATTTTAACTTTTTTCGACATTATTGTCGAAAACGTTTTCTTTTTTGGGGCAATTATCTGATTTTTTGGCAAAACTATGTAGCAGTTGAAAACGATCTTTGCTAATTATATTTTGTACAGTCACACACGTAAAGGTGAACGTTGCGTGTGACTTGATAAAATGAAACAACAGTAATTTTGAGATTTTGCATGTCAAGATGAAACCCACGAGATGATGTAAAATCACTGCATTATTGCAATTGACATGGATAATGGATTTTTTTAGAATAAAAAGAATTTTATTGTTTTCTCTTTTATATTAATAATTTTTAAAAATTAATAATTTTAATATTAATAATTTTAAAAAAATTAAATAACACAAGCTGTGTTACAAAACTTTCACACAACAACAGAAAAGCGATTAGAAAATATAGCAACCGATCGAACTTTCGATCTCGATAATTGAATTTCCTTTTGCGGAACGATATCCGCGGCTGTAAGACTTATAGCCGGAAGAATAGTCGGGAAACACGACCGCGAGGAGCAAGAAGACGAGACCGAGACCAAGAAAACTAGAGCACCGAGGCGCGCCGCTCAAACAGGCCACCTGTTCTCTATTAGATGACTGAGGAAGTAAAGTTGCTCTTCAAGTTGGATCGCGCCTGACTCGACCTGGCTCCGCAACATATCGAGCGAGTTCTCTTGCTAGTCTTATTCAAGGGAATAAAGTGGGTGTGTAGGTAGGCGCGAGATCTATGTGGCCTTGCAAGGCCGCTCTTATGTTCTTTGATCGTTTCTTCATTTCTCGCAAACAAAAAAAATGTTAAGTTTCAGAAGAAGATGACGTATTATTTGAATTTCTGGTTGTATAAATCTTGCTCAGTACTTACTTTTACAAATTTAGTTTTACGATGATTCGAGAAAATTCTGGTTATTAATTAGCCGAAGAGTGGGAGATCGATGGGACATCTTAGCGCTCTCTATTGCCATCGAGGCCGTCATCGCTATCGATTTATCGGAATATTTAACGGTTTCGGTAATTTCGAAATAATTGCTCGAAGTGCCTGCATAAAACGTTTCGTTCTGCTATATAATCATTATAGAAATAATACGAAAGTTTTTCGATCAATCTATTTCGTTAGAGATAACTTCAAACTACAAATAAACTAAGCATATCGAAATTTGTTTAAATGTAAAAAATATGTATACGTTTAAATGTAAAAAAAAATATATATACATAGAAATAAATACAACAGAAAAAGATTAATGAGTTTCCTAAATATAGTTGTCATGTGCAAAACTAATAAATTAATATAAATTCTATAAAATAAAATTGTAATTTTCAGTTTTTTAATTAAAATATTAAAGATTTTCTAATTTAAAAACTTCGATTTTAAATTTATTGAAACATTATTTGTACTTTTATTCCGGATATGACATAAACGAAAGTACCTGTAGCATAACAGCTGTACACTGTTCTATCGTGCAAGGTAAGATTATGCATAACGAGTTGATGCATAATTCGTCGAAGATGAGCATTACAGTTACTAGCACTAACATTGTCTTGTGCGTATATTACAGCAAGATATAATTTCTAAGTACAAGCAGAATTTCAATGCTTATACTTCCTGAAAGTTCTATTTATAGCTATTTTATCATTACAAGTTTTTGTCATTACATATTTGTACAATTCCTTAAAATAATCTAGATATTAATTTTATATTCAAAGAAATAATTGTTTTTGATACATATACATATGTGTATATATATATGTATATATGTATGAAATGTTACTTTATTGACGATATTGCAATTAAGAAGAATGTAAAGTTCTTGATATTTATCAAGAATTTTTAACTTTAATTGTTAAAAATGCTTCATAAAATTTTTAAATTGAAGTAACTTTCGAATTAAATATCTTATCCGGAAAAAGAAATATAAGGCTAACTTAATATTCACAGAATAATTCTTTTTTATTTTAATAGAAATTTTTATATTTGTTAATTAAAATTGTATGCATTAAATCCTTAGTGTGTATAATAGCAAACAAATCCTTATACGTTTTAGCTTTGAATAAGAATATTAATCAAGATGATGATTTTTTGAATGATCGAAGTAATGTTTCAAATTTCGCGAAATGATATGGAATAATTATGAGTTCAAAGCATTACAAAATGATTGATAACGATATATCGTAATTAGAAGTAATCATTACCTCCCGTGAAGTTTTAGAAGAGCGGTTTGGAATCGTCAGTAGTTTGTTACGTATGTATGTATGAACAAGTGGATCTTATAATTTTTTTAATATAGTAAAAATAAAAAAATAGCATCTAAATATTGATAAAAAACATTAAACAAAGATAAAAGCTTTTAGAGTAGTTCTCTTATACTTTTCACTTTTTTGATATTTTTAAAACAAAAGTTAGAATTTTTAAAGCAAATTAACTATAAGACTATAATTATTATACTAATTGTTACAATTTTTTCATCGCAGTATGTTTCTCTTTTTTCAGTGCTTTATTAAAAAAGAACATATATTTTAGCACTAACCTGTTAAATGTCAGTTGGATGCGGCAGGCCATGCGATAAGTTTCATGGGCCGTCGTGGACACCGCAGCCGGATGATCAATGATCCCTGCAGCACGTGGACGATGTTTGTCAAGAACGATAATGCCAAGCCGTTGCGGTTTTCTTCAAATTTAGTTTATCAACAGCTGCATCACGAACGCCGAGCTTAATTTTCAGATTTAACTTACACTGTTCCGCATTACGATTTTTTCGTTAATTATTAAACAGTCCCGTATGAATCAATTAACGGTATTTTGTGACGATCGTAACGCTATAGAAATCATTTCACATTCTCTTTGTGAACTTTATATCTTTTTGTTATAATGTTTATGTCAAGTTCTCCAACTTCCGGAACAGCACGAAGAATTGATATGAACAACGCACTTTTCGTTAAATAAATATCCAATATTAGAATTTATTTGATTTCCGTGAAAAATAAAAGAACTTGGTTAGATCAAGTCGATCACGAGTTTATAACTGGTTTAGTCGAAGACGCACTGTAGCAACAGACAGCAGGTGTCGTTCCCTCCTGAGAGAATCACATTATTCCTTCTCTTCTTCTATCTTCGTTTAGTTTGTAGGTTTGTAGGTTCGTTTATTTTTTTTTTTAGATTAGAAATACATTCAGAAGAAAAAAATGTATATAAAAATAATTATATATACATGTATATATATATATATATATATATATATTAACAATATGTAAAAATATTAAATTTATCAGTCCTCTCTTGTATATTTTCTTCTCTTTTGTAAAGAATAAATTATTTTGTTTTCTCATAAAGTCTATCTTTTTGTCTTTTATTTCTTGTTAAATAATATTATTTATATAATAATGTAACTGTCATGAAGAGCGTCTTATTTTATTTGAATAATTTCTTTCTTGTTCGGAAAAAAAACTAACATCCACGAATAAACAGTACGACAATAATCTCTGGTAAAATTCCAACCGCATCTCTCACTCTACTTTCTCCGCGTATATCCTATCTTGTCACAGTGAGCTCGATGTCGACATGTCTGACAAATCCTCTCAGACGTCTTCTCTTCATCCTTCCAGTAATATCATTAATGATAACGTAAGACAGAATTTAGATAATTATTCTTGTTCTCTTCATCTTCTCGTAATTTCTTTCATTTCTCAACAACTTCACCGTCGCCGATTTACTCCCTAATCTCGAGGGATCCTCGTGAAAGGTTTGCGAAGAGACTGCAGGGTCTGCTAGGACGCGAGTCCCCGGGATGATGATATGCGGAACGTGCGATGAGCAACAGGAGACCAGCTGAGTTTCGTGGTGGATCCGTGCTGCGTGGTGGTCGGGTAGTTTGTGGCTGCGAGCACACAAGTCGAGCCTACGACACGGCGCTCAGTGGCGGCGCTTTGCAGCTCTGTCTTCGTTCTTTCGTTTCCTTGTCGCTCTTCCGAAGCTCTTCTCGTTGTCATACTCTTTCTTTCTTACATCTCCTTCTCTCTCTTCCACGGTTTCTCGCGAAGGAGATGAGGAAAATCTTCCCCCGTTGCGCCTCTCTTGTTCTACGGCCTCTTTCTAAAGCCTCCCGCTATTGCACACAACTATCTTTCTCTGGTGCTAGCAACGATCATTCCCTCGACGATCATCTTTGTCGCGCCAACGTTCAGCAAGGAATAGGAAGCGCTTCCTTATTCCGGTATGGGGAATCGCACGCGCGGTTGAATCAAACACGATTTGAATTGCGAGAAATTATTTTAAATCGCGTAATATCAACTTTTTCCTTATTTTCTTTTTGCGTTTCCCATTTTCACGCGCGTACATATGTTTTTATTGCAACATGTTGTATTTATATACTTATTTTATTAAAACATATTTTTTATATTAAAATATATTTTTCCAACTTTTCTAAAAGAACAAAAAGTAAACAAATCGCGTTTTCAATTTGCGTGTTAAAACAAAACACGCGGTATTATATTGTGCTGCGGAGCATTTGAAAGAAGGTCGGACTTTCGCACGACTCGTGCCACCTTGGACCGCACTAGCTAGAAAATCAACGTGACAATGTCGTCGTTCATGAACGAGCACGTGCTCACTCGTGCACACAGTTGGGCCCAGTTTCCGCAGCTTGTTCCGAAGATCGTCATAAACAGATCGAATAACAAATCCAACTACGCGTAACGCCGTTTTGTGAACAACTTATCCGACGCAATAGAACGGAACAAAATGCCCTTGAGGAAGTTTTTTGTTCTTCTTTCAAGACTGATTTGATATTTCTTTCGTAAAGTTTAAGTTTTAAGAATTTTTTTCGTTAAAAAAAAAAAAAAAACGTACACAAAATGTCTTGTGTAAAACGTTTCATTCGCTTTACATGAGACAGGGTGTATTGTAAGATAAAAGATGAAATTCGGTTATCTGTATATACTACTCGAGTTATTTCGTTAGCGGTCGTGAATAGCTAGCGCTGAAATACGTAGCGGCTATTGTGCGTGTCAGCCAATCAGCTGATGCCGCATATTTTCTGAAAAACACGCAAAAACAGCTAGCGAGCTGTACGGACTTGCTCCGGCTACGTGCGAGAGCAGAGACTCTTCAGCCGCCGCGCTTGTAACACGCAAATCGATTATTCGAGACTCGACTGTGAATTTGAAATAAACGGTTACTGCTTGATTATTACTTTAAGATTGGTGAGTGTTATTTTCAGTGCCTGTCATTCAGCCTATCCTCTGTGCTAATACTTCGAACTTGAAAATAAAAGATCTTTCGGCGTTATCTATTGTCTTTTCCCGCGAGCACGGTCATTTCTTACAGTACGATCTACATGATCTTTTAAATGTTACTGTCAATCTCAGTGCTTTATATGCGTAACACTTCAAATAAATAACGACACAAGTCGTCTCTGAAAGCGTAAACGTAAAACATCGACGCGTATAAAAGACGAAAATACTTTTAATATTCGGAATAACGTATATGCGTCTCGTAAGTCATCCGCAAAAATTCTTCTCGCGACATTCACAAAGAAGGCAGTTCAGCGCGTTCGTAAACCACGATCTACTGAGTTTGCGCTAATTGCATTCGTAAAATAAAAAACTTCCCCGATTCCGCCTAGATTGAACACTCTCTGAAAATATCCTATGAAACAGCCAATCTGCGTTCGCCTGTGGACGTGTCATCGCAAGCGCGTTGTTTAAAAGATTCTGGGCGCTGCAATAAGATAATCTCGAAGTAATTACAATGTGTGCACCCTGATAATTTTATGGGCATTTTAACGATGTCTGACCCGCTTCGATCGCAGCCATATAATCTTATGAATATTGACATAAAATCAAATTCCACGGCGGCGATTCATTGGCAGGTCGGAGACACGAAAGGGATAAGAAAAGATAAAAGAGATGAGAAGACTCAATATTCGGCAGTCAATATACGATCGGTGAAGCCCACCCGGCGTACAATTAGAGGTACAGTTTTCATTCATTTAACCGGCTATGCAGATGGCTGACCAGTGCCTCTAGTGAGGCAACTTGCGGGTTCTCAAAAAGCAAATTTGCTCGGCCACCGAAAAGATAATTAATGAATAATCAGCGCGCGCTTCTCTTTTTGCGCGAATCCAATTGTTACGTCCTGAGCCCATGGTTACGGTCGGGCATTAGTGGTAGTACGCAACAGACGTACTGACACATTCAAGCAAACGTGAAGCCTATCCCCCGGCACACTGACACAAATGTAGGATTTCTTGAGGGCAATTTTAAATAAAACTCGGCACACTTCATTTTATATACAAAAATAAATACATATATTATCACTCCGATTAATTACAATGATATAATTCGACACCTCATCACAAACTTCTTGACCGATCTCCTTTACGGTCACATATCAACTCCAAATATATCACTCTAGGTACATTACACAAACTCAATCTTTACATATTCAAATCTTCGACCGATCTCTTCAACGGTTCCTGAACGACTCTCTCCCCGTAATCGGCAAGTATATCCAAAATCATGCAATACCATACAATAACATGTGTTCCTAGAGATGGCGCGATACGACCTTTCTCAAGGGAATTACAATAATAAACAGATAAGGGCATTAGCTACAAGGCAACGCATATCAAGCCATTCGGCAAAGTCGAAATATTTAAACAGAATTCAGGCGCTTACACAAAGAAGGAAGTCAGGAATGCGCGGGTCGAGCGAGACAGTTCGGCAACGCAGACAGACCAACGGGGGGGTTACCCGATTTTTCTCTGTCTAACGTATTCTCACTCGTCGGTTCCTTTTTAGGTCTAAGACGCAAGTCTCAATTACCAAGGACGGAACCACGCGATTTAACGAGAAATGAACGGGTTTTGTTAATTGAGTGTGTTTTACTAGTAGTAGTTTGTTAGTTAGACGAGGTCCATAAGGGTTGAATTAATCAAAGCCGGATTTGTTACCAAGTATATTATCATAATTGTTTATTTAAGTAGATTGTTAAAACAATAATAATAACTGAAGGAAAACATAAGCAGACTCCGCATGAATTTGCTTTAAATTGGCAGTTCAGGTGCGACGATTCGTGTTCTATAACGATTATTATTAAAGAGATCTCCGCGTATTGTTACAAGCGGCGGAATGTTTTGTTGTAGTGACGTCGAGATTATTTGAGCTGGATTGAAGTTAATAGAGAATCTTAAGTCCGGAGTGCGTTTACGAGAAATCATTTCTTTGGAAAATATACTGACGTTAACCACGGGTCGCCGTTCGGATCCGTCTCCGCAAGAGATCGTAAAATAAGAAGAGTCTATTGTTCGGAAGATTCTATTTTAACATAGGCGCTGTTCATTTGACTATGAGTAGCAAATCGAGATAATTAATTAAAAGTAGATCACTATTATTGAATTATTGATTGGATAAATGTTCATGATTGTTATTACGGTACTCGGAATCATTACATTACGTTGTGTGTCGAGAATTAGAAATGGTTGTAAGAATTGATGATCTTGACTGCTGCTCATATCGAAATGCAAAAGGTGTACGAGTCTGTATTAGTGAGACTTACAATGTACTCGGTGATATATCTTGGTGATAGTGATGCTGGAAATTGGCAAGGTTGCTCGGTGATTTGGTCGTAGTTGTTTCGCTTGGATTCACGCTGCTCGCGGATGATCGCAAGGGGAATCGGCGGCACCCTCAGCAGGTTCGACGAATGAGAAGTTTGCGAAATTTCTTTGATTCAAACTGACTGACCGATTGATTGTTAATCACTGATCCTATCGCGAGAAACTATTCTCCGAAGATCGAACTGTGTTGGAAAACTGCGTACTGATTAATGAATGCTTGATCGAGCATCCAGGGCTTTTATACCTGCGGATTGATTTTCCCTTCTCCATTGTCTTTTCTCGAAATTTCGACCTCTCGTTCGTTGACCGCCGGAGCAAAGACCTTTTCCCCTTTCGTTCGATTCTCCGGATCGATAGGATCATCGTTTGTTTAGATCTCGCTTATCGGTACGTGCCCTATCTTGTTTATGTCTGCGAGTCGCAACTCTAGCCCCTTGATTTTCGATTTCCTTTCCATAGTCGCGAGAGCCGCTGCGTCATGCCCAAAATTTCCGAGCGCGTAGCTTGCATACAGAGAATCT